TCAAAGGCCTTTTCTGCATCCATTGAGATAATCAGGTAGTTTTTGTCTTTGGTTCTGTAATATAAATATATTTATAATTATATTTATAGACTTGCATATGTTGAACCAGCCTTGCATACCCAGGATGAATCCTACTTGATCATGGTGGATAAGCTTTTTGATGTGCTGTTGCAATCGGCTTGCCAGTATTTTATTGAAGATTTTTGCATCTAGGTTCGTCATGGATATTGGCCTGAAGTTTTCTTTTCTTGTTGAGTCTCTGCCGGGTTTTGGTATCAGGATGATGTTGGTCTCATAAAATGATTTGAGAAGGATTCCCTCTTTTTCGGTTATTTGGAATAGTTTCAGAAGGAATGGTAGCAGTTCCTCTTTGTGTGTCTGGTAGAATTCGGCTGTGAACTCATCTGAATCTGGGCTTTTTTTGTGTGGTAGGCTATTAATTGCTGCCTCAACTTCAGACCTTGTTATTGGTCTATTCATACTTTCGGCTTCTTCCTGGTTTAGGCTTGGGAGGACACAAGTGTCCAGGAATTTATCCATTTCTTCCAGGTTTACTAGTTTATGTGCATAGAGTTGTTTGGAATATTCTCTGATGATGGTTTGAATTTCTGTGGAATCTGTGGTGATTTCACCTTTATCATTTTTATTGCATCTATTTGGTTATTCTCTTTTCTTTTTTATCAATCTGGCTAGTGGTCTATTTTGTTGATCTTTTCAAAAAACCAGCTCTTGGATTTATTGATTATTTGAAGGGTTTTTCCTGTCTCTATCTCCTTCAGTTCTGCTCTGATCTTAGTTATTTCCTGTCTTCTGCTAGGTTTTGAGTTTTTTTGATCTTACTCCTCCAGCTCTTTCAATTTTGACGTTAGGGTGTCAATTTTGGATCTCTCCACTCTTCTCATGTGGGCAGTTATAGCTATATATTTTCCTAGAGACTGCTTTAAATGTATCCCAGAGATTCTGGCATGTTGTGTCTTCTTTCTCGTTGGTTTCGAAGAACTTCTTTATTTCTGCCTTCATTTCATTGTTTGTCCAGTCAACATTCAAGAGCCAGTTGTTCAGTTTCCGTGAAGCTGTGTGAATTCTGAGTTCGTTTCTGAATTCTGAGTTCTAACTTGATTGTACTATGGTCTGAGAGACTGTTTGTTAAGATTTCAGTTATTTTGCATTTGCTGAGGAGTGATTTACTTCCAATCATGTGGTCAATTTTAGACTATGTTTGATGTGGTGCTGAGAAGAACGTATATTCTGTGGATTTGGGGTGGAGAGTTTTGTAAATGTCTATCAGGTTTGCTTGTTCCAGGTCTGAGTTCAAGTCCTGGATATCCTTGTTAATTTTCTGTCTGGTTGATCTGTCTAATATTGACAGTGGAGTGTTAGTCTCCCACTGTTATTGTGTGGGAGTCTAAGTCACTTTGTAAGTCATTAAGAACTTGCCTTATATATCTGGGTGCTCCTGTATTGGGTCCATATATATTTAGGATCATTAGCTCTTCTTGTTGTATAGATCCTTTTACCATTATGTAATGTCCTTCTTTGTCTCTTTTGATCTTTGTTGCAGGAGAATTGCAACTCCTACTTTTTTTTGCTCTCCATTTGCTTGGTAAATCTTCCTCCATCCCTTTATTTTGAGCCTTTGTGTATCCTTGCATGTGAGATGGGTTCCTGGATACAGCACACCAATGGGTTTTGGCTTTTTATCCAATTTGCCAGTCTGTGTCTTTTGATTAGTGCATTTAGCCCATTTACATTTAGGGTTAATATTATTGTGTGTGAATTTGATACTGCCATTTTGATGCTAGCTGGCTGTTTTGTCCGTTAGTTGATGCAGATTCTTCATTTTGTTGATGTTCTTTAGCATTTGGTATGTTTTTGGAATGGCTGATACTGTTTGTTCCTTTCTATGTGTAGTGCCTCTTTCAGGAGCTCTTGTAATGCAGGCCTAGTGGTGACAAAATCTCTGAGTACTTGCTTGTTCACAAAGGATTTTATTTTTCCTTCACTTATGAAGCTCAGTTTGGCGGGATATGAAATTCTGGGTTGGAAGTTCTTTTCTTTAAGGATGTTGAATATTGGCCCTCACTCTCTTCTGGCTTGTAGAGTTTCTGCTGAGAGATCTGCTGTGAGTCTGATGGGCTTCCCTTTGTGGGTGACCTGACCTTTCTCTCTGGCTGCCCTTAGCATTTTCTCCTTCATTTCAACCCTGGTGAATCTGACAATTATGTGCCTTGGGGTTGCTCTTCTTGTGGAATATCTTTGTGGTGTTCTCTGTATTTCCTGGACTTGAATATTGGCCTGCCTTGCTAGGTTGGGGAAATTTTCCTGGATAATATCCTGAAGAGTATTTTCCCGCTTGGATTCATTCTCTTTGTCACATTTTGGTACACCTATCAAACGTAGATTAGGTCTCTTCACATAGTCCCACATTTCTTGGAGATGTTGTTCATTCCTTTTTGTGCCTTTTTCTCTAATCTTGGCTTCTCATTTTATTTCATTGAGTTGATCTTTGACTTCTGATATCCTTTCTTCTGCTTGGTCAATTCAGCTGTTGAAACTTGTGCATGCTTCACAAAGTTCTCCTGTTGTGTTTTTCAACTCCTTCAATTCACTCATATTCCTCTCTAAGTTATCCATTCTTGTTATCATTTCCTCAAATCTTTTTTCAAGGTTCTTAGTTTCTTTGCATTGAGTTAGAACATGTTCTTTTAGCTCACAGAAATTTCTCATTACCCACCTTCTGAAGTCTGATTCTGTCATTTCTTCACACTCATTCTCCATCCAGCTTTGTTCCCTTGCTGGTGAGGAGTTGTGGTCCCTTGTAGGAGGCGAGGTTTTCTGGTTTGAGGTGTTTTCCTCCTTTTTGCGCTGGTTTCTTCCCATCTTTGTGGATTTATCCACCTGTCATCTGAGTAGTTGCTGACTTTCTGATTGGGTCTCTGAGTGGACGTCCAGATTGTTGATGATGAAGTATTTCTGTTTCTTAGTTTTCCTTCTAACAGTCTGGCCCCTCTGCTATAGGACTACTGAGGTTCACTCCAGGCCCTGCTTGCCTGGGGTACACCTGTAGCAACTGCAGAACCATGGGGGTTGCTACCCGTTTCTTCTTCTGCTATCTTTGTCCCTGAATGATGCCCACCAAATGTCAGTCCGATCAGTCATTTGTGAGGTGACTCTTTGGATATATGGGGGTCAGGGAGCTGCTTGAGGAGACTGTCTGTTCTTTATACTTGAGGAGACAGTTTATACTTTATAGGAGCTCAAGTGCTGAGCTGTGAGCTTCGTTCTTCATTCAGGGCTGCTAGGCAGGTACGTTTAAGTCTGCCGCAGCAGAACTCATAAAGCCCCCTTTTTTCCTCAGGTGCTCTGTCCCAGGGAATTAGGGCTTTATTTATGAGTATCCGTTGCACTGTCCTGCCCAGCAAGGAGGCAGTCTAATCACTGCCTGCCTGTAGTGGCTATGCTGAGCTGCCGTGGGCTCCGCCCTGCTGCTGTGTGTAATTCTCTGTAGTCCTCTTTATATGGGTGTGGTTAGAGCTGCCGTGGAGATGATGGCCCACCTCTGTAGTGGCGGACTCTCTCTGTTATGGCGGGTTGCCTCGGCAAGGGCGGGTTGCCTCGGCAGTGGCAGGCTGCATCAGCAATGGCAGTGTACCTCAGTAGGGGTCGAGTGCCTTGGTAATGGCAGACGTCCCTCCCCCTCCGAGCTGCACCATCCTGGGTTCAGCTGTGCTTGCCGTGAAACTCTCAACCCCGAGCGTTTCCAATTGCTCTTTTGTTTGTTTTTGTGGGGGTGGGAACCACTGAGCCTGATTACCTGGCTCCCTGCTTAAGAGCCCCCTTTTTTTTTTTTTAAGTTGAACGGTTGACTCTCTCCCAGGTGTTCCAGTCACCTGCTGAAAGGGCGCTGGGATCTGTGTGATTTCCTGTGCAGCGACCCACTGTGCTGGCTGGAACCACATTGCTGCCCGGGAATCTCCTGGCCTGGCTTTCTGTTTAAGTCCCATTTAATCAGATGAATGTGCTAATCTGCCTTCCAAAATTTCCAATTGCCAGTTTAACAGGGCAACCAAACCAGTGTATTTTGTATGGAGTGCTGCTGCGCTGCCACCCTGGCTGCACTGGCGGCCCGTGGGGCTCCTACACCTGGGAATCTCCTGGTCTGTGGGCAATAAAGATCCATCTGGGAATGCGGCATCCACTCACCATCTGCGGTTTCACTGGGAGCAATCCTGAGTCGGTCCTACAGTGCCATCTTCTCAAGGTCTCCAAAAAGGGATTTTTAAAACACTTCAATTCTTTGGAATTTGAGAAAGTATAAAGTTAATTTGAAGAAATCCTCTCAGATTTGAACCACGAAGTTACCCATATATTCATTTGAATTCTTGCCCTCTTATTTCAACTTTAGTTAATGAGACACCTCCAATAGACTAGTATGCTTTTAAAGCTCAATACACATTTAGTTATTACCTAAAGAATAGAAAATTGTGTGTGGTAGAAATGCTAGTAATTCCTAGGTTTTTGCCTCTCAAGGAGGCAGTGGGGATATTGTGTGATCTGAGAACCTTGCACTGTTTACTGCAGAGTGGGTCTAGAATATTCCCATAAATATATTAACATAGTGAGCAGTGCTGGAACACTCATTAGACAATCACCACTCCTGTGTCCCTGATGTTATCTGTCATGGAGCCCACCAGGTGAGTTCACAAACACGCTTTTCTTACCACCATGGGAAGTAGATTTGGATCTACTCAGAGTCATGATGTTGAATAGCCCTTATGAACTTTCAAGCACCTGAGAATGCAGAGACCTTTGGTCTTTAAAACTTTGAACTTAAGCATTTCGGAGAGATTTGCTTCTTTCTTCATGTTTGTGTTGTCATTAGGAGAAACAATGAGAAGTGATTTTTCATGATGACTGCCTTAGCCTTGAGGCTCAGCCAGCCCCTCTAAAGGCCACTCCCTGCTGTATATTCTCAACAGATTTTCTCTTTTACCCCTCAGGACTGCTGTGTAAAGATGGTATGGTCAACCCCATTTCACAGCTAACCAAGCTCAGGCTCACAGAGCCTAAATCACTTTTCCAAGTAAGTGTCAGGGTTGGAATGAGGTTCCATCCCTTACCTACCCTAGAGGACCCTGAGCACCCCCTTTTAGGAGATGGGCTTCCAGGGCTTGAGAAATGGTCAAATTCCACTCCACTGCTATTGTGGTCCAATGGGTTCCCACTCAACAACTCCTCTGGGTGCTGGAGATGACAGAGGAGGTGAAATCCTGTGCTTTGTGCCATGAGACCTGGGTGTAGGGCCACATGAGATAGCTGATCTCTAAAGTAGTGAGTGGGCTCAGGTAGAAGCTCAGGTGTTGGCCTTGGGACAGGTGAGCTGGAGAAAAAAGAAAGTAACATGCACTAAATTACTGTAAGCAAATGCACTTTACACCTCATCTCCTTTCATTTTAACTGCTATGCAAGGTCATTGTAACCATTAATCAAATTAGGCTGCTGCCTTTAGAGAAGTTTATGTAAAAGAGAAGTTTATGTAAATCAGGGAGACAACTTTGTTGTTTCCTAATCAGCACAAACTCTGTATGTAGTACTCTAAATTTTTATCATTTTCTCTTGATTACTCCAGGACCCTGAATGCTCTAATCTCCCTCCAGGCTGACAGTACTGGCTCCTCAGGTGTTTCTCAATGTTTTTTTTCTTTTGAAATTAAGAGCTGTAGAATTTTAAACTCAAATTTTGGAGTTTAATTGGATTAGTATCCATGATTTGTGAAACACAGTAACAAAATGATTGGCAACTATTTCCATAGAGAATTTAAGTGAAACCTACATGAACAATAAACATTAAAATATGCTAACCCCACAAGAACTAAGATGCAAACATTTTAACATCTTGAGAATTTATAATAACAAGATGCAAAAGATAAGTACTGTGATTACACTTTTGGAGAAGACAATGTGTGTGTAGGTGAATGTGTTCATGTGCACCTCACCTACAGGGATGTGTCTGGAGCGTATGTACCGTCTTAAGAACAGCAGACCCCTTGGGGTTAAGGAGTGGGAGTTGGACCAGTGAGATCTCAGCTTAATTTTGATTTACGAATATACTCTCTTGTATACTGTTTGAAAATTGGTATTTGGGTATAAAAGTATTTTGATTAAACTTTGAACACATAAGATACTGTGGAACAAATTATCAAAGTTAAGGTGCACATTTGTTCATTAATTCGAAAGAGCATTCATTATATTTTATTTTATTGTGAAGTAAATTAATGTCTAATTTACAGAGGTTGTGTGTGTGTGTGTGTGTGTGTGTGTGTGTGTGTCTCCTCTAGCTCTACCACCCCAAATACACAATCATGGATGCAATTTTTCTTTAGTTTCAACAGGGGTTGGAACCAATCTCAGTTTCATATATTGTGGAACATGATGGATAAATGGAAATTGCCACTATTAAGTGAATAATTCCGGAAAACTGTGGCTGATACCTTGGCACTAACCTCAAACCTCCATCCATCCCTCTTCCTTCCTGAGTCCCTGGTTTGAGATGATCAAAGCTGCATTTCTGTCTCTGGGCACTAAGAGGCATCACAGCTATCTCTGTTTTTGTACATTTTGCAGAGTAACAAATGTTTCAAAATGACGTGTTTACTTTGATTCCAGTTCTCTTTGGAAAATTCACATGTATGTTAAAGCAGGTCCATTTGCCATTGACCCCCAGGTCTACATTGCAATCACTGATTTATCATCTCTTCTCAGTGTGTGTTGAGGTGTCCACCCTGTGTATGTGTGTGTGTGTGTGTGTTGGGGGGGCGGGGGGAATCCCTCCTAGAAAGCAGGGCATTCAACTCTTCATAATTCCATCCCTGTTCAGGCTTCTCAGACCTTCTCACACTCTTTCAGTCTTCCCCTCTCCGGAACACTATAGACACAGGTCCCCAGATGCTGTTCCACTGCCTCTGACCTCTCTCAGTCACCTTTCTACAGCCCTATCACTGCTACCTGGTGTTTCATTGTATGGATGCCCTGGAGCATATGTTTTTACATTTACACCGATCAGTTTTTTTTCTTACCAGCATGGGGAACTGGATTTGTGTCTTCTCAGAGGCATGATGCCGAACGGTTTTTGTAAGATTATGAAACACATAAGAATGTAGAGAACTCCATCTCTGAAACTCTGAACTCAAGGTATATCAGGGAGATTTGCCTTCCTTATATGAATGTCTGTGTTTTCATTAGGGGAAACAATGAGAAATGGTTTCCACAATGCCTGCCTTGGCCTTGAGGCTCAGCCAACCCCTACTGCTGTGTCTCAACATTTAAAGGGCCTTTGAAGTCTCCCAATCCATGCCATATACTCTGGATAGGTTTTCACATTTGTGCCTGAGAAGAACTCCCTAAAGATGTTATGGTCATCCCATTTCACAGATGACCAAGCTCGGGCTCACAGAACCTAAGTCACCTCTTCAGGTAAGTGGCAGGATTGGAATGAGGTTCTATCCCTCACCCTCCCTAGAGGAACCTGACCACCTCCCTTTTAGGAAATGGGCTTCCAGGGCTTGAGAAATGGTCAGATTTCACCATTCAGATCATGGCAATGTCTTTAGAGGAGTTTGTGTAAATCAGGGAGACAAGTTTATTATTGTTTGTTCTGTATTGATGAGTATTTAGAATGCTTCTCATTTTTTCCTTTTTAAAAAGATTTCAGCAATACTGTAGCAAATAACCTCTTACCTGGCTATTTTGTACATGTGAAAACGTTTCATTCATTACATGCTTAAACATTTATCCCTTGGGGCTTGATTTCAGTAATTTAAACTCCCTTTCGTGTGTCCTTTCGTGTGTCTGAGCATTCTCATTTCTTTAATCATCTATATACCTGTTGTAGTTACAATATTTAAATGTATTTGTAACTGATGTGTGTTTCCTTTTCTTTCATGTATTTGGTCCCTCCTCCAACTCCAAAATACAGACACACAAAAAGCCAGTTTTCACCGTTTTCCTTTGCAAATTAAAAAAATTCTTATTAAGTTTTTTCTGCATTTAAATTTTGTCAAATGGTAGGTGATAAGAGGATATTTAGATGGTTATATTTGCATTCCTTAATGTGTTAGTGGACTAGAATGTATTTTCTTGTGATTATTGGCCATTTGCATTTCTTCATCTGTGAACAATATACATATTTTGTCAGTTTTGTTTTTTGTTATAGGAGCTGTGCATGTGTTAAACCTAAAACCTTTCACTGATCAATGCCTGTGTTATTTCAACACATCTTTGTTCGGTGAATATTATTTATGAGACACTCTAGCAAAATCCATATCCTAAATGTCTCCTCTGAGATCTCAGCTCTTATATTTATGGGAAATATCCACCTGCAGCAAGAAAAGTATCAGTGCCCACCCAAACGTGTGACTTGTCAAGGATCACATGCACAGACAGTTACACTTATTCTTAAACCCTGCATGGCCACAGAGTAAAAAGGATGTGTGGTGCATTATATGAGGAGAGCACCAGCTCAGGACTGTGATTTCTGTGATCTCTATACTAACAGCAAGATTTTTAAAAAGTACATAACACTTCTCAGTTTGCATTTTCTCATTTGTAAAATGTAAACAATCGTAGCTACCAAAGACAATTGTTCTGAGAAGCAGAAGAACAAAATATTTTAAGCGTCATACACAGCATAGGGTACATACGATACTCAACACATCTTAGTCCCCTTACTGTTCCATACCCGTCTTTCCTTTAAAGGAAATTCCTTTGACATAATCCAAAAGGCATGGTTCCATGATAACCATCATATGGAAGTGTTCAGGGAAATGTACTCTGTGCTGGGTAAGAAAAAGTAAACAATCGCTGAACCAGTTTCCTAGGGTTTATAAAAGAAAATCATCAAAGTCAGTACCTTATTTTGCTTCATTTCATAGACTTCCCAATTCCATTTTTTTATGTTCTATGTTAATTTCTCAAGAAAAATAGGCCCAGCACCGCCTCTGCACACAACCCCACGGGCCTGGCTCAGGAGGGGGCCGGGGCCAGCACGATGAGCGCCCCAGGCAGCCCTGACCAGGCCTATGACTTCCTGCTCAAGTTCCTGCTGGTGGGTGACAGCGACGTGGGCAAGGGTGAGATCCTGGAGAGCCTGCAGGACGGTGCGGCCGAGTCCCCGTACAGCCACCTAGCGGGGATCGACTACAAGACGACCACCATCCTGCTGGACGGCCAGCGGGTGAAGCTGAAGCTCTGGGATACGTCGGGGCAGGGAAGATTTTGTACCATATTCCGCTCCTATTCTCGTGGTGCCCAAGGAGTGATCCTGGTGTACGACATTGCAAACCGCTGGTCTTTCGAGGGTATGGATCGGTGGATTAAGAAGATCGATGAGCATGCCCCTGGTGTCCCTAAAATCCTGGTGGGGAATCGCCTACATCTGGCATTCAAGAGGCAGGTGCCCAGGGAGCAGGCCCAGGCCTACGCCGAGCGCCTGGGTGTGACCTTCTTTGAGGTCAGCCCCCTGTGCAATTTCAACATCATAGAGTCTTTCACGGAGCTGGCCAGGATCGTGCTGCTGCGGCACAGGTTGAACTGGCTCGGGAGGCCGAGCAAGGTACTGAGCTTGCAAGACCTCTGCTGCCGCGCCATCGTGTCTTACACACCCGTGCACCTGGTGGACAAGCTCCCGCTCCCCATTGCCTTAAGAAGCCACCTCAAGTCCTTCTCCATGGCCAAGGGCCTGAATGCCAGGATGATGCGTGGCCTCTCCTACTCCCTCACGGCCAGCTCCACTCACAATAGGAACAGCCTCTGCAAAATGAAGATCGTCTGCCCACCCCGGAGCCCACCCAAAAACTGCACCAGAAACAGCTGCAAAATTTCTTAAGAAAGGCACCAAAAGGAAACAAGCTGGAATCGCTCTAGGAAAAGCTCTGAATGGTTACACCTGGAAGAGGGAAGATGCATTCAAGATTCAAGAAATACGTTTTCAGTTTCTCATGGGAATCATGCTGCTTGGCAATGTGTGTGATGCCTTCCATTAATAACAGCACGATATGCAGCTGGACTTTGAATTTCTACGTGGATGTGCATGTGTTTCTAAAGGGAAAATTAGTACTCTGCTTAACTCTTGATAACATGAAATTTTAAATGTTATTTATATCATAATCACACTGCAACTTTTTCCGTAAAATAACCACTTTTGTAAGAATGTTGATATGGCAATGATGAGTATAAATTCAAGGGAATTTGAGAAGCAATGATAGTGAGATAATTCAGAGTCATCAGTATTACAAGAGGCGCCTTTTTGTAAACCTGCTTTTTAATGTCAAAGCACCAATTTATAAAACACTGCAGATGCACATAGAGATTATACATAACAGATCTGTCCAGTTTGTGCATGAAATGGATTTGATAAAGTTTTTGCTATGTTATTTTACTACATTTGGGGATTAATAAGTGATTTATATGTATGTTTTTCTGTAAATCTACTTTTTTGTACAAGATATTCCAAGATATGAAGCTAAGGGAAGAAAACACCAAAGATATCTCTAGTTACGTTGAACATAGCCAACATGGTTTTAATGAATCAGTAAGAAAAAAGCCATTTCAGTAAAGAATGAAATGTTAAGAAATGTTAATGAAATGTTATTTAAGAAAATGTTTCTTAACAGTAAAAAGGCATATATTTTTCTTTTTTGGTAAAACAAAAAGAAAAAGAAAAATATGTATAATGTAAACCTGCAAGATGAGGCTTTGCAGAAAAACAATGTGATGGAACACAGGCAGGGAGGCCCATTATAAGGCATTAGGTGAGTCATTTCTAAATGTGCTGGCCAGTTTTGATTAACACCTCACAGATCAATGTAGAAGTTAATGAGATCCCGTCTGGGAAAGCACTTCTGAGACCTTAGATGGGAAGGAAGGGAAAGTGATTTCCATGTAATTACTTTTCAGTTTACACTGTGGATTATTATAATAATCAATATTGGATGAACTGAGTAAATATAAGTCCTTGTACTCTTTCGTAATTGAGTGACCATTTATTTTTGCATTGTCATAGGGTGGTTGTAACATAACGTCCCACAGAAGGGCAGGATCTCTGGCCTCAGGCAGCCATGGGGACTCACCCTTCCTGAAAGCTGGTACTTTTCAATCTCATGAATTTCCCACAACATTCCTGGGAGGCAGAGGATATAATCTCTACACCATCCTGTAGCTAAAGAAACTGTGATGTTTGCAGGTTAAGTAACCTGGCTGGGGAGCATCCTGCCACTAAGTGAAAAGGCAAAGACCAGCACCCTATGTGCCCCCACACAGACTGACGCTGAGCTGCACATCACACCATAACCAAGAAAATCTTGCTTTCCTGCCGACCGGGGTCACTACTGAAATCTGTATCTTCAGCTCTGAAGCCAGGCTGCCAGTTCTGTCTCTCTTCTGAAAGACAGTCTTGTCAGACCTAAATTTCCACCTCTGTAGACAAGGGAGTGTCGGGGCCAGTGCTTTAGAAACTGGAGTCCCCAGACAGTTCTTGTATCAGGAAGAATATGCACTCTCAGAAGGACAGGGGTCATGCTGAGGATGAATACTTGAAGGAGCAGGCCCCAAACACATGCAGATCAGGGATGCATAGAGTCTTTAATAGAAATTACCAAATCACCTGGAAAGAGGTTGTACTAAATGGCATCCCCACCACCAATATAAAACAGGGTAGACTTCCCCGCATGCCCATTTCACTGGAATCCTGAATGGTTTCTTTTTATACTTTGATGATGTGACAGGTGGAAATTCTTTCCTTGTCATTGTATTTAATTTGATATTCAGATAACTTAAAAACTTCTCTAGTATACAAAATGCTCTGATAATCATCATTGCATTATATTTTTATTGCAAAATGGTCCATTTTCATATGTAGCATAAAAACAATGAACAAGAGACATGAGCCTGCAGGTTCTCCTAGAGCTACTGCTGGCATTCCAGTTCCAGGATGTGTGGTGGCCTCTGGGTGTTCCTAATGGCACTGTTTTTACAAAGAAGGGAATTAAGAATGTCTCTCCATGACATTGGTTGAGTTCAAGTTTGGAGAGGATCTGGATCTGCACTTTGTGGAGTCTTTTTGAATGACACAAGAACTGGACCACAACACACTTCTGAGCAGGCTCTAATCCCTTCCCCATTGCCGAAAGCAAGCCTGTCTGTGACCTCAACTGCTAAGGTCAGGGTGGATCCCTCCAGGATGTAAGGTGTGTAAGTTGGCCTAAATCTGCTTCTGAACACTCAAGCTGGGTGCTCCCATCTTGCTGCCATCAGTTGCAGAGACCTGAGAAACTGCATGCTTTCAGCCACCAATGCCATGGGTTCAGTCACCTGTGTGATAATTCTGTCCTGAGAAAATACCATAAATTACCAGCAGCTCTTTGACACATCTTGCATCCATCTATCCATCCGTCCATCCATTCATCCCTACAGTTAATAGACATTAAGGCCAAACTCTATACCATCCCTTTTGTGAAGTTTTAGGCTTCCCCAGAATGTGAAGTGTGGAAATAGGTGGATGGTTAATTCAGTTTGTAGATCTAAAAAGAGAAGGCCCCTTTCTCTTAATATTTCAACCTGACAGAGTCACTTATCATTGATAATTTTAAAACATAATACCCTGGACCCCTCTCTACATCCCCAGTTACGGTCCTCTTTACATATATTCTCCCCATTGTGACCAAAGTTCTTTGTTGTCGTTGTTGTTGTTGAGATGGAGTCTTGCTTTGTTGCCAGGCTGGAGTGCTGGAGTGCAGCGGCATAATTTCGGCTCACTGCAACCTACATCTCCCGGGTTCAAGCGATTCTCCTTCCTCAGCCTCCTGAGTAGCTGGGACTACAGGCGTGCATCACCACACCCAGCTAATTTTTATATTTTTAATAGAGACCAGGTTTCACCATGTTGACCAGGATGGTCTCTATCTCTTGACCTCGTGATCCACCTGCCTCAGCCTCCTGAAGTGCTGGGATTACAGATGTGAGCCACGACCAAAGTTCTATGAAGAATTCTCAATACTCAACTTGCATTCCTCCACCTGAGTCCTCATTGCTTATCTACTGGCGCTTTTTTCCCCCACCTCACCGCTGAAATGAACCCTGCCAAGGTCTACAGCCACCTCTCCTTCACATTTATAGATCAACAACGTTGAAATAAACATCCTAATGTTTTCATCTGTATAATATTCTTTTGGAAGTTTTCTTATGCAGGTACTTATAAATTTATGCAGAAATGTATGCATTTATATAATTATCTGCAAAAGATAAGGTTAATCCTATATTTAATATCATGACATGCTTCTCTCACTGAGAACATACCTCAAAGTTTATTGATTATGAATATACTTGAGTCTATGCCATAGGGGTAGTAGAAATACTAATAGCCAGTAAAGACAGAAGAAACGAAATGTAAATGGCTAAAGCATTCTTTGCCAAGTCCTTTTTAGGCATTGAGTCATTCAATTTTCAGAGCACCCTTATGAGGTAGACCCTGTTGCTAATTCCCATTTCATAGATGAAAATCTGAAGTACAGAGTGAATAAGGACTTTGCCTGAGACCACACAGTTAGGGAGCGGGAGAGCTTAGATTTGTATCCAGTACATCATGCTCCAGAGCCTGGATGACTGTCAAAGCTCTGTTGTTAGATGATAAAAGCAGTCTGCACAAGCATGGATACTTTAGATGGTTACTAGAATGAATACTTTGTATATTAATATATTTATATGAAAAGCTATACATAATGAGAAAAGGTGGATGATTATAACCTTGGTGAGAGGACATTCATTACAGTCATATGGACAGAAGACATAGTGTAGTGGGATAAGCAATCAAAGGGAAGTGAGGAATGTAGAAAACCCTTTTCCATCATTTGATTTTAAAGATTGTATATATATACATATATATATATATATATATATATATATATATATATAATATACACATTTAGCAATTGGCAAATGAAAGAATGGATAATTGTGTGTAAAAGGTATGCCAGTAATGCTTAGATTTTTGTCCCTAAGGAAGGCAGCAGGTGGCTGAAATGTTGGTTGCTGTGGCTGGCTAATGCATGACCTAAGGACCTGTGCACTGGTGACAACAGAATATGTCCAGAATTTTTCTATGAATATATTAATATATCAAGTAGCCCAGGAGCAGCCTCTGGGCAAAAACCAAACCTTGCATCCCTGGTGCTATCTATCTCTGATCCTACCAGGTGAGTTCCCAGGCACACCTATCTTGCACACCGCCTCCACCCCCAACCTGGGAAGCTGGATTTGGGTGTGCTCAGAAGCGTGACGTTGGGTAGCTTGTATGAGATAATAAAATACTTCAAAATGCAGAATACTTTGTCTCTAAAACTTTGAACTTAATGCATATTACATAGATATTTGCTTCTTTTAACTAGATGTTTGTGTTCTCATGAGAAGAAGCAATGAGAAATGGTTTTTCACAACGCTTCCTTGGCTCTGAGGCTCAGCCAGCCCCTACTGCTGTGTCCCAACATTTAAAGACCACCAAAGTCTACTTCATGCCTTATACTCTGGACAGGTTTTCTCATTAACCACTCAAGACAGCTCTGTAAGGATGGCATGGTCAGTCCCATTTCACAGATGACCAAACTCAAGTTCACAGAGCCCAAGTCACCTCTCCAAGTAAGTGGTACAATTGGAATGAGGTCCTCTCTATAGGACTCTGAGCAGCCTCCTTATTTAGAAAATGGGCATCCGGAACTTAAGAAATGGTCAGATTTCACTCCTCTGCTATTGTGAACCCATGAGTCTTTACTCAACAACTCTTCTGGGTGTTGAAGATGACAAAGGTGAGATCCCATTTTTTGTGCCAAGAGACCTGGGTGTGGGGCCACACAAGTTGGCTGATCCGTGAAGTGGTGAATGCACTCGGGCTGGAGCTCAAGTGTTGGCCTTGGGACAGGTGAGCTGAAGAGAAGGAAAGTAACATGCACTGAACTACTGTAAACCAATGCAATCTACACCTCATTTCCTTTAATCTTAACTGTCATTCAAGTAACCCATCACTCTGAGGATTATTCACATCAGCGTACTTTGAGAAAATTTAGGGAAATCAGGGGGACATCTTTGTCTTCTCATAGCAGGCAATTCTGAATTACTCTAATTTCCATTTTGTCTTCATGCTTTATGAGCTTTGAATGATCTAATCTCTTTGGAAGCAGCCATTACATGTTCCAACACTGTTCCTTTTTTTAAAAAAAAATTATAATCCATATAGCTTTAGGTCACAGTATATTAAAATTGAAAAATTTTAGATTTAAAAAACCCACTAAGAATAGCTGGCGAACTTTGGAAAAAATTCTTCCAAACTACACCTGAGATATTGGGCTAGTATCCATGCTTAGTGAAACTAACAAGCAAAGAGATTGTCAAGTAATTGTAACAGAGACTTCAAATACATACACACACATATATATATATGAAACACAATGATAATAAACATGTTAAATATGCCAAATTCACAAGAAGTAAATGTAAATTCTCAGAAGAGATTAAGTGGGAAAACAAGTTCAAAAGAAGATGTAGACCGTGATTGCACTTTTGGAAAAGACTGTGTGTGTGTTAAGGTGAACATGTTTGTGTGCACCTCACCTACTGGGACACATCTGGAGAGTATCTACTACCCTAGGAACAGCAGACCACTTGAGGTCAGGGAGTAGGAGTAGGGTCAGGTCAGTTGGAGATGCAGATTAATTTTAATTCATGAATGTGCTTTTGTATATTTATTGAATTTTTATATTTAGGAAAAACTGGATAAAATATTAAAACGAAATATTTTGAATAGATCTACAAAAGTAAGGTACACATACGCTTTGTACTATGGAAAAGCATTCATTTTATTCAATTTCCTGGAGAAATAAAGTAGGTTTTTAAATATGCATTGACGTGTGCGTGCGTGTGCGTGCGTGCGTGCGTATGTGTGTGGTTTCTCTCTACTACTGACAGTCACAGACTTA